AAAAAAAAAAAAAAAAAAAAAAAAAAAAAAAAAAAAAACAAACAAACACCTGGAGATAACACAGTGAAATTTTACCGATAAGAAAATTTTAGTACCGTTTTGGTATTTTTATATTAAAGATTATGTAAACTTGGATTTCTTTATAGGTGCCAAAGAACGTTCTGAGATCTATGAAGCATTTGAAAACATCTATCCTATTCTAAAAGGTTTTAAAAAAGCTTGAGTATATCATTAAAATTTTGCTGTTTTGAATGTGTGTATAAATTCAGCACATAAACAGCTGGATTATTTTACTTTAATTGTAGATGTACAAATTTAAGTACCTTTTGACTAATATTACATGGTGATTATATGTAAATGTCTAAGAAATGAAAATAGTTTCTTACTCATGACTCTTGTACATTTTAAAAATTGGAAAGTTCAGAATTTAAGAAATTTTGAGCCTTGTTAGATTATTACGGCATTAAAATGAATGCTCTGCTTTTGTTAAATAAGTAACATTAACTAGTGCTTGCTGAAAATATACAGCAATATACAGAAATTTCAAATAACTGTATAAACTAGAAACTATATATAATATCCTGTAGTGGGATAGAAATTAATGTCTATATTTTGCCTTTTAAAATCTTGAAGTAGCTGGTCATGGTGGTGCATACGTGTGATACCAGCACTCTGGGAGGCTGAGGCAGAGGGTTCCACCTAGCCTCGGGTGATTCTGTCTCAAAATAAAAGTTAAAAAAAAAAAAAAAAACAGGACTATGGATGTAGCTCATTGTGAAGACTCTGCGCTCAATCCCCAGTACCAGAAAATAATGAAAGATGGAAGAAATGATTCTATCAGGCAACACACACTGTGGGATCCTTTGGGACCATGGAAGTATTTCTCACTTGAAAATCTTAAACTTCCAGTAACCCATTCAGGCTGGATAATTTATTCTGCACAGGGAAGTTTTGGTTTCTGCTCTCTTTTACAGTCCATGTAATCATATTTAAACAGACCTGGTAAGACCCAGAGGCACGGGTTGTGTAATCACCAGCATCTTACAACCGGGAGTGAAATTTTGGGGAGGGAGTCTCACAGGACTCCAGGGGCTCCTAGTTCCCATGGAGACAGTGACGTATCCCTCCAAGGAGCCTCCACTTGGCTCCTATGACGGGAGGCAGCCCTGGCCTTTGGGTGTGGACCGCGGGTGAGGAGTCCCATCAGGAGGGGACTGGGTAGCTGTCAAGGGGTCCTTGAGGATCGGTGTACACGATCTGTCCCACAGAATCAAGCTCATTTCCCCTCTATCGTTTGGAGCACATTTAGACGCTGCTCCTCACCCAGCCCCACGGCCTGGAACCTGAAGGAGAACCCCCTTGGTTCTCCTCCACCCTCCTCTTCCTCCTCTAGACTCCGTGGAAGGCCCAGGGGCGGGGAGAGGAGCTGGCGGGTTTATTAGGACTCGGTTTGAAAAAAGAACTTTGGTTCAGGTTGTCTTCGCTGGTTGAACACTTACCTATCCTCTTCCAGTGGTACTGCAGTAGCCGTCTAAATGGCGGGAGATGGGCACAGTTGAAGGAATCGGCTCCCGGCAGCAGGGGCTGCCACCGGGCTCCAGGACTCAGCTTTGTGTCACGTAGCTTTATCCAAAACGGAAAGAATCCTTAGTGAATTAAATTCCCTCTTTTCCCATTCTGTTCGCCGAGAATTCTTGGGTTTAGTATTGCTAATCCTCACAAAAGCCCGAGGCCACCCCAGAAGACTACAGAGTCATTTGCTTTGCCCGCTAGGGGCCGCAAGGAAGCCCCGCCCCTGCCCCCGCCCCGCCTCGTCGCCCAGGATGCACCTGGTTGAAAACAAAATCCCACGTGACTGGCCCTGCGCTCAAACCATCATGGCATCTCCCAGTGGGAAGGTAGCGCTGGTGCCGGACGCTCCTGGTTGTGGGCCCCGGCCACTGGCGCGGGACTTGGTGGACTCCGTGGATGATGCAGAGGGGCTGTACGTGGCGGTCGAGCGGTGTCCGCTGTGCAATACCACCCGCCGGCGGCTGACTTGCGCCAAGTGCGTCCAGAGCGGCGATTTCGTCTACTTCGATGGCCGCGACCGGGAGAGGTACGGCAGCGGCCCTGGACCTATTGTTTCTTCTCTCATCTCCTCCCGCTTGGTGACCAAAGGCTGAAACTTGGGGTTCCCTGTCCGGATCCCCGAGCCCAGAAAGAGTAGCTGCTCTGCGCCTGCGCCGTGCTGCCCGTTGGCAGGTGGGGGTGGGGGTAGGGGTTGCCGGTGGACTAAGGTCGCAGTTTTCCCTATACCCACCTGAGAAGAGTTTGACCTACCGTGTTCTTGGGTACTAGAGGCAAAGAAAGGACTAGATGGTGACTCCAGAGAAGTCTTTCTTTGGTGCTGTTTAGCGTTGAATTTTTAGTTCTTTGTTGTAGACTCATTCAAATCTTGGTTTAACCTTTCTGTTTTTGTTGTTGTTGTTTTATACCGGGGATCGAACTCGGGACCTTGAGTTTGCGAGGCAGGCGGTGGAACCACTGAGCTAAATCCCCGGCTCAGCCGTTCTGTTTTTGAAAGCACAATCTAAGTCATTCTCTAGGGACAAGGAGAGAATCAAATAGCGGACAGGAGTTTTTCCCCTTCTTAGTCTTTGTCATAGGTAGATCTTGTTCTCAAATGAGCTTTAATTTGTGACTAGCTGGTTAGTCTCTTTTTCCCTCTTTTTGAATGCTTAGGGATTTGGGAGCGTGTTTTGGCTTTGTTTAAAAATTCAGGCAGGGAGCTGTAAGCCCTTGTTAAGAGAATTTTACTTAGGAACGTGTTTTAGCTTTTTTTGTTTTGACATGGTCTCCCTATGTCGTTGTCCTAGAACTCACTGTAGCCCTGGCTACCCTTAAATTTACGATGATGCTTTGGCTTCAGCCTTCCCAGTACTGGGATCACAGGTGTGTGATCTGTGCAACAAAACTGCAAGTCCTTGGCAAGAGAATTGAAAAACTAATAATAAGCTGCAGGGTTTCCTGTTTCAACAGTTTAGTTTCTTTGTGGTACTGTGTTAAACCCAGTGTGTTCACACTGAGCCATATGCTTAGCCCATTTATTTTTTTATATTGAGGGAGGGTTTTCTGAAACCTCCTCAGGGACATCAAGTATTACTTCTCCTTCCTCAGCCTCCCAGAGTGCTAGGATTACAGGTATGCACCACCACACCCAGCTTCAACGATTTAGTTTTTTGTTTGTTTGTTTGTTTTGTATTGGTTCTGGGATCCAACTCAGGACCTTGCTCTTGCAAGTTTGAGGCAGGCGCGGCACCACTGAGCTAAATCTCTGGCCTTCCTTTGGTTTTTTGAGGCAGGGCCTCACTATGTAGCCTGGGCTGGACTCCCAACTCATGGTGATTTTCCTGCCTCAGCCTCCCCAGTGCTGGGTTTACAGGTGTGCGCCACCACACACATCTGGCTTAACAGTTTAATTTTAGTGTTAGTAATATACTTGAACTTTTGTGTTCAAAAAGTTAATTGCTTAATCTTTTACAACAAATCCATTAAGTTATTAGTGGAAACTGCACAGTAAATGCTTTGCCTTGTTTTGCACAGCTAGTAAGTAGAGGTTCAAATTAAAATCCAAACAACTCGGATTCATGTACTCATGCTTTTAACTTCTAGGCTGGCCAACCTTTAGATTTGAGAATGTTTTAAGTTCTTAATATTCCTGTGATCATGGACAGACTTCTTTTTCTCTTTGGGAATTTGTATAACAACCTATTTAGTTTATTGCTGTGCTTCGTTAATGGGCCTGATGACTTCAGAAACTGCTGATGTAACATAAAAATCAAACCAGGTTATTTTATTGTAAGAATCTGGATATGAGATGGAAGTGTTCAATTGATAGAATTTATTCAGGATTAGGCTTTACACTTTTTCCTAGGTCTGTTCTGTGATTGATGAGATAAGGTTTCACTATGTAGTTCAGGATGACCTTGAACTCACTTTATAGCACAGGCTGGCCCAAAGCAATCCTGCCTCAGCCGGCCGGGATCTCAGGTGTGTACCACCACACTTGACCTATTCCTGTGATTAGATACCATCTGGACGCTTAAGCCTGCCACTATTGTATCTCTGATCCAGACCTCTCCCTCTCCCAGAAGACAGCTGCCCATGTCAACATCTGTATGTAAATTTGTAATAGGTATCTCTATTGTAACATGCAAACTAAACTTCTGATTTTTTATTTGTATGTTTGGTCCTCTCATCTCATCCCAGTAAATGGCAATACGGTGTACTCAGTTCACCCAGGCTTTTGTTTGCAAACAATTTGCCAAACAGAAGTATTTGGCAAAATTTTGTTTTGTTTACAAACTGTAAATCTGATTTTTTCACCATCACCTGGTCTGATCATAAGATTATTGCCCCTTGCTCCTGCTTTCGCTCTTGCCTTCGTTTGTGTAATTCCCGTATTGTCCTCAATGTAATATCACTCCTCCATTCTTCTGTTCAGGTCTTCCTTCCAGTGCTTTTCCTCAGTGAGGCCTTCCCTGAACTTCCTTATTAAAGTATGTTCCCACCTCTCTCCATTATTTGCTATCTCGGCACTCAAATTTGTGTCATGGTCCTGTGCATGATGTATGCTATTTGTTTTAGGATAATATCCACATCCAGAATAGAGTTTCATGAAGTTAGGGAAGGTAGCCTCTAAGCATGTTATTAAAGGAATGCCCAAAGCAGTGGGTTTTAAAACTTACATATAAATTCTTTGTTAAATTTGAGCATTAAGGTGAATTTTCAGAAGAGGGATATGTTATGGATTTCTTTTCCTGACTAAGCAGAAAAATGAACAAAAACATGAACCATTCACAGTTTAGAAATAAAAAGAAATCTTGGGGGTTGACTCAGGTTACAGTGGTCTGCTCAGTCAGTTTCACTCTCCCCTCTTTCCATTTTCTGAACTATGTGTCCCATCAGAAAGGGATTTGTTGGAACTGGGGATATAGTTGTGGTAGAAATCTTGCTCAGCATGCATGAGGCCCAGAGCTCAATCCTCAGTACTGTGGAAGGGTGGTGGTAGTGCTTGTTTTCCTTTGTTTTCAGAACACCATTGCCCAGTGTGTAGGACAATGGAAGACTCTTGGGACCCAGGACCACTGTCCTGATGGCCAAATACTGTTTAATGGGCTCCCATTAGGTACTGATACATGTAGAAATCATTCTGACAGGTTACAGAAGATAAAGACTGTTCACTGCACTGAGAAATTGTACTGGCTGCTAGTAGACCTTGAAATGCACGGGACAAAGTTTGATTGTGAGCTCTGCTACTGTCTTCATTATTTATGAAAAATACTGTATTCTGTGCCTGCTTCCATACTTGCTTTTAACTTCAAGGAAAGCCTCTCACTACAGGGAGCTTTTTCGTCTTTTAACCTTTTTGCTCCCTGAGGGGACAAAGAAGGAATAATGCTTAGCAGTACCCCCAGTATAATCTTTGGACCTAGTATTCAATGTTGGATAGTTTAAAATTAAACTATTCTTTTAAAGGCTATTGTTCCTTTTGAAGGAACATCATTTTGTGAACTTATATTTATTGGACACCAAGATTATGCAGTAGACAACTGACAAATTGGGTAATCTTTCCACCCAAAACTGGGAATTCATTACCAGTTTTTTGAGTAGGAAAAATTTATTGAGAGAAAGATAGCTTCTGCCTAAGAGACAGAAGAGGGAGTGGAGTTTCCCCACCAGTTTGTTGCAGGTGGAGGAATGGGACTAGGAACATGATCTAAGAAAACCCAGGGAAATATACCTGCCAGTGTAGGAGCCAGTGATTTTTAAGTGTAAATGAAGAAAACACATTTTACTTTTACATGAATGAATATATATGTTCAGGAATGATGCAGCATTATAACTTTTAGAATATGTGATTATTGTGCCAGGGATTTAGCTCAGTGGTGCTGCCGCCCTGCCTCTGCAGGGTCCTGAGTTCAATCCCTCATACCAAAAAAAAAATGTGTGTGTGTGTGTGTGTGTGTGTGTGTGTGTGTGTGTGTGTGTATGATTATAATTTTCCACAAAACTGAAATACAGGCCCTAAACACACTGAAAAGTAGTGAGAGGTAAATAATGATGAAGCTTAGGTAGATCCCATGGGAGGGCTCAGCCAACATTCAGGAAGTAACCTTTAGATATTTCTGTCCCCCTTCCTGAATCTTTTGAGTTTTCAGTCAGTGTGGCCTGTGAAAATCTGCCTTGAGAGTTCAGTTCTGTGCTCAGCAGAACAAAAGCCCTACAGGAGGCCAGATGTACCCCATCTTTAGGAAGCATTTATCAACCTTAATCCTGTTTATGCTCTTTGGAAGGTTTTTATCACCCATTAATGTATCTTATTAATAGTGTTGCTACCGACAAATGTGGATATGTTAAGAAAATAGAGCTTTTTTCAGTCAGCATCGTTGGATACTTTTCCATTCACTTTTTAGAATTTATAAAAGTCTTTCATATAGACTGTCTTGTTTCTACTACAATCCCTCGAGTCATGAACCTATTTTTAAGATGAAGAAACTGAAGCTCAGTGTTGAGGCTGACTTACTCCTGGCCTATGTTAAGTTCACTTCCATATCTGAAACACACACACACACACACACATATGGGTGGCATGGGGGCATGAAAATATGAGAAAATCCATCTCATTTTGATCTGGAGTAAGCTGGAGGGCACATGCTGTGAACCCAGGGCTGTGATCGAGCCCTGAGGGCCAGTTTGAGGCCTGTATGCCCTACTACCATGGGAGGATTACTGGGAAGTAGGATTTCTCTTCCCTCCAAGTGGCTCCACCTGCTACCGGTGAGATTCTAATAATCCCCAGGCCCAGCTTTCAGAAGATAACTCTCCCACATCCATGGTCTCAATACTGTATTTTTAAAGCCTGTCATAATCCAAAAGTTTTCATAAAGTCTGTCAAACACCAAAAGGCAAATAACACATCATGGGGAATGTGATTATGAAAATAATACTGTGATTTGTTTGGGAAGTTTTCCTTGGCGCTTACCTGAATGTGATGGCAGACAGGGATGGCACATCCCAGAGGGCTGAGCTTGCTCTTTTTTTTTTTTAAGTTTT